GCCAGGAGCTATGAATCGACCCCTGCAACCACAAATAGGTGAGTACAAATAGGTGAGTACACACACACACACACATCATCATCATCATCATCATCATCATCATCATCATCATCAGCACCAGTTTGGAACCCACACCTGGTCAATCACGTCAAGAAATTAGAGAGAGTGCAGAGGTTTGCAACAAGAATAGTTCCAGAACTAAAGAGATTGTCTTACCAAGAAAGGTTAAGGAAATTCGCCTGGCGTCACTGGAGGACAGAAGGGTCAGGGGAGACATGATAATGACATATAAAATACTGCGAGGAATTGACAAAGTGGACAAAGACAGGATGTTCCAGAGATGGGCACAGAAACAAAGGGTCACAGTTAAAAGTTGAAGATTCCTATGGGTCAAAGGATGTTAGGAAGTATTTCTTCAGTCACAGAGTTGTCTAGAAAGTGACGTAGTGGAGGCAAGAACCATACATAGTTTTAATTAAGACGAGGTTAGATTAAGCTCATGGAGCAGGGAGAGAAAGGGCCTAGTAGCAATTAGTGAACAGGTGGGGCCAGAAGCTATGAATCGACTCCTGCAACCACAAATAGGTGAGTACACAATCAAACACACACACACACTGGGAGCACTTCAGACTGAAGGTCCCAAGATGGTGCTTGCAGTGATGGATAACCCAGCACAGAACAGCAGGAGGCCTAGAGAAGAATATGATAAGAATAACAGAGAGATGGTTGACACACTAGCTGAAGTGGCCAGATGGGCCCATGTGAGCAGGGCAAAGCTACTGGTTGTGGGTGACTTCATTCACAAAGAAATCGACTGGGAAGGGCTAAGATGTTGGACGTGGTACTGGAAAACCTCATTTATCAACAGGTTAGGTACACTACTAGAGAGAGAGGGTAGAGGATGAACCAGGAAGACTGGACCTAGTACTCATCTTGAGTTGTGTAGATATTGAGGACATCACATATGAAAGACTCCTCGGAGCTAGTGATCACGTGGTTCTAACCTTCGAATACACAGTAGAGTTACAAGTGGAGAGATGAGGGCGTTAAGGGCAAGAAGAATGAAGCCAAAGTAGAAGAGAGGGACTATACATGCATGAAGAATTTCCTGTGCGAGCTCCAGTGGGACTGAACTGGCAAGGAAAACAGTAAATGGATAATGGAATATATGACAACAATGTGTGATGTGGTGGTGATGCAGGCAGTAATGTTAGTGTAATGTAGAGGTGATGCAGGCAGTAATGTTAGTGTAATGTAGTGGTGATGCAGACAGCAGTATTAATGTGATGTAGTGGTGATGCAGGCAGCAATGTTAGTGTGATGTAGTGGTGATGCAGACAGCAGTATTAATGTGATGTAGTGGTGATGCAGGCAGCAATGTTAGTGTGATGTAGTGGTGATGTAGACAGCAGTATTAATGTGATGTAGTGGTGATGCAGGCAGCAATGTTAGTGTGATGTAGTGGTGATGTAGACAGCAGTATTAATGTGATGTAGTGGTGATGCAGGCAGCAATGTTAGTGTGATGTAGTGGTGATGCAGACAGCAGTATTAATGTGATGTACTGGTGATGCAGGCATCAGTGTTAGTGTGATGTAGTGGTGATGCAGACAGCAGTATTAATGTGACGTAGTGGTGATGCAGGCAGCAGTGTTAGTGTGATGTAGTGGTGATGCAGACAGCAGTGTTAGTGTGATGTAGTGGTGATGCAGACAGCAGTATTAATGTGACGTAGTGGTGATGCAGACAGCAGTGTTAGTGTGATGTAGTGGTGATGCAGGCAGCAGTATTAATGTGACGTAGTGGTGATGCAGGCAGCAGTGTTAGTGTGATGTAGTGGTGATGCAGGCAGCAGTGTTAGTGTGACGTAGTGGTGATGCAGGCAGCAGTGTTAGTGTGACGTAGTGGTGATGCAGGCAGCAGTGTTAGTGTGACGTAGTGGTGATGCAGGCAGCAGTGTTAGTGTGACGTAGTGGTGATGCAGGCAGCAGTGTTAGTGTACGTAGTGGTGATGCAGGCAGCAGTGTTAGTGTGATGTAGTGGTGATGCAGGCAGCAGTGTTAGTGTGACGTAGTGGTGATGCAGGCAGCAGTGTTAGTGTGACGTAGTGGTGATGCAGGCAGCAGTGTTAGTGTGACGTAGTGGTGATGCAGGCAGCAGTGTTAGTGTGACGTAGTGGTGATGCAGGCAGCAGTGTTAGTGTGATGTAGTGGTGATGCAGGCAGCAGTGTTAGTGTGACGTAGTGGTGATGCAGGCAGCAGTGTTAGTGTGATGTAGTGGTGATGCAGGCAGCAGTATTAGTGTGATGTAGTGGTGATGCAGACAGCAATGTTAGTGTGATGTAGCGTTGAGTCAAGCAGCAGTGTTAGTGTGACGTAGCGTTGAGTCAAGCAGCAGTGTTAGTGTGACGTTGTAAGGTAACTTTGGAATATCGACAACATTTACATAATTGTTATTGTTAAAAACAAGTCTTAGATACAGTAATTTTCTCTTAAAGGTAATCTAGAAGCATCAATGTCATCTACGTTGCAATGTTATTAGACAAGATATTGTTTGAATCTGATAAATATTAATTTTTGTAGGTAAAGATTGTCACCTTATGATTATTTTAGACTAGGCTTTCTGTGAAGATTAAATAAGGTTGCTATGATATGGTTTTTTTAATGTAATAATGACACTTGAAGCGTTTAACTGATGGTGTTTAATCAGACGACGACAGAAGTGCTATTGTCATTCTGTCGTTTTTGATGAGTAATTATACACATTCAGGAGTATCTGAGTCTAACAATAGCAAAATTTGAATGAGAAAGAATTAGGAATTAATCAGGTTTCAGAAATGTCCCTCAGGCTACTGACACTGGTTGGGAAATGAATTAGTTATATCAAAGACATTTATTTTTAGCTGCAAAATTGTTAGGATGGAGGAAAAAAGGGATGAAAAGCGGTGAGAACTTAAATGGGATAAATACACTACGAACGTATATACGAACGTATATACGCTGAGAAATTGGTAAGTGAGGCTTGCAGTGGTGTAAATGAAAGTTGCACTGGTGAAAATCAGGCTTGTACTGATTAAAAATGAGGATTTTACTAGCGTAAACGAGGCTTGTACTTGTGTAAACGAGAGTTGTACTGGTGAAAGTGAGGTATGTACTGGTGAAAGTGAGGTATGTACTGATACGTGTACTAGTGTAATCGAGGATTCTACTTCCGTAAGTGAGACTTGTCCTGGTGTAAATGAAACTTATACTGATGTGAGACTTGTATTGGTGTAAATGAGACTTATGCTGGTGTAAGTGAGGCTTGTATTGGTGTAAGCGAGGCTTGTGTTGGTGTAAGTGAGGTTTGTACTGGTGTAAGTTAGGCTTCTACAGGTGTAAATGAGGCTTGTATTGGATTGGTATAAATAATGGTTGTTCCAGTGTAAATAAGGCTTGTACTAGTGTATGTGAAGCTTGTTGTGGTGTAAATGAGACTTGCACTGGTGTAAGTGAGGCTTGTACTGGTGTAAGGATTGAACTGGTGTAAGTGAGACTTGTACTAGTGTGAGTGAGACTTGTATTGCTGTAACTGAGACTTGTACTGGTGTAAATGAGGCTTGTAATGTGTAAATGAGGCTTGTAATGTGTAAATGAGGCTTGTAATGTGTAAATGAGGCTTGTAATGTGTAAATGAGGCTTGTAATGTGTAAATGAGGCTTGTAATGTGTAAATGAGGCTTGTAATGTGTAAATGAGGCTTGTAATGTGTAAATGAGGCTTGTAATGTGTAAATGAGGCTTGTAATGTGTAAATGAGGCTTGTAATGTGTAAATGAGGCTTGTAATGTGTAAATGAGGCTTGTAATGTGTAAATGAGGCTTGTAATGTGTAAATGAGGCTTGTAATGTGTAAATGAGGCTTGTAATGTGTAAATGAGGCTTGTAATGTGTAAATGAAAGTGGAACTTGAATCCACTGTATGTCGTTCCAATATATAAATGATTGTGTAGCTTTCCAGTGCTATTTCTATTGTTTCTTAATTAATTTTAGATGGTTTAGGCATTTAAATTGATGCACATGCTGATGTCATTGCAAAATAATCTTACTAAACAAACAGAGGGACGATAACATTTGATATTAAGAATGTAACTGATTATAACTTCTGAAAGAGTTGATTTTTGTACCTACCGTTATATTATTATGTTTATAAATAACAAAAAGGCACAATACCGTGACTGGAACAATACAATACGGTGGGGATGCCCGGGTGTTGTGCATGTGTCTTAATTTCATCCTGTCGGTATTATACAATTCTTGTACTACTACTACTACTACTACTACTACCACCTCTTCCTGCCTATATATAGCCGTCCTGCTCCACCTCTGTTAGTACTTAGCAGTTGGGTTTAGTCCTGACTCTTCTCTCTTCGACTCAAGACATTCCTCTCACCGTCTATTCTTCGCACTGTCCCCACTTGCCCCTCGCCCCTCGTGGGTACTTACCTGTGAGTCCGATCTGATCCTCTGTTAGTGTGACTTTGTCAATGGTCTAAGTCGGACCGAAACGTCGTCGTAAGCTTCTCTCTTTTATGTGCGGGTTATTTGTGTATTATTATGTTTGATTATTACAGGTAAGTGGATGTTTTATGACCATGACCTCGACATTTAATAATGGTCCTGTGACATGTTAGCTGCTATATTAGCAGCAGACTTTGATGGTGATGTTATTTTAATAATGTTACGCTTATCCGGTATTTGTTAGCAGCGGGTTATATTAATGTAATTATGCTGTTTATTAACTGTATATTAATACGATAAATAAATAATTCTCTTATTGCTGACATTGTTGTGATTATGGTGTTAGAATTGTAGTGGTGATGATGTAGGCAGCTTGGAAGTGTGTGCTGCAGGCAGCAGTGTTGTGGTGATGCATGCAGCAAGGAAGTGAGAGTGACGCATCAGGAGCATCGTGATGGTCAGGCAGGCAGCTGTGTTAATGCTGTATTGTTGTTATTGTTGCAGACACAAGGTGGTGACCAATGGGACGCTGGTGGTGAAGAGCGCCAGCCATGAGGACGTCGGCCGCTACACCTGTGTTGTCTCCGGCAGACAAGGACAGAGTACTGCCTCCCACACTTACCTTCATGTACTCAGTGAGTCCACCCACACCACCTACCTTCATGCCCTCAGTGAGTCCACCCACACGTACCTTCGAGTCCTCAGTGAGTCCGCTCACAGCGTATAGAATACTAAAAGGAATTGACAAGGTGGACTGGCCACAATGTTTCAGAGATTCGACCGACACAAGAATAAGTCGACACAACTAGGAGTTGAAAATTCCGATGAGTTACAGGAATGTTAGGAAGTATTTCTTTAGCCTTAGGGTAGTGAGGAAGTGGAGCAATCTTGAGAGTGAAGTGGTGAAGGCAGGATCCTACATATTATTAAGGAGCACAACAAAACTCTTGCAGCAGGGAGACGGTGGACCTAGTGGAACCAGCGAAGAGGTGGGACCAGGAGCTGTTGTTTGACCCCTGTAACCACATATAGATGAGTACATATAAGTGATTACACACAAGCACACACACACACACCATCCTTATAACCCACCCTAAGCAGTAGACTTCCATATCACACTGCCAGGTCTCCATCCCCCCCCCCCCAACCCCAGAGGAATATGGTGTTGGAGAGGAAACTGAAGGTATGGTACACCATCGCGGATGGGATAACGAATAAGTTGTAGGAGTGACACGAAAGAATCCCAGAGGCATCACCAAACATCACAGCTCTCATGGAAACCAAGCTAACAGGAATGATAACAGACGCCATCTTTCCAACGGGATATCAGAGCCTGACGAAAGGCAGAGGGAATGTATGCGGTGGAGGAGTTCCACTGTTCATCAAAAACCAGTGGAATTTTCAGGAGTTGGACAGAGGGGAAGAAAGGGCCTACATAATAGGGACACTTCAGACTGGAGGTCCCAAGGTGGTGATTGCAGTGATGTATAATCCACCGCAGAATAGCAAGAGGTCAAGATAAGAATACAATGAAAATAACGGAACACTGGTTGACACACTGACTGAGGTGGCCAACACTGGCTCAGGTGGCCAGAAGGGCCCATGTGGGCAGGGCCAAGCTACTAGTTGTGAGTGACTTCAGTCATAAGGAAATCGACTGGAAAAAGCCGGAGCCACAAATGGATGCCCAGAAACGTGGAGGGCTAAGATGATGGAGGTGGTACTGACAAAACTCATGCATCAACACGTTTGGGAGACCATGAGAGAGACGAGTGGACAAACCAGCAAGACTGGACCTAGTGTTCACCTTTAGTAATGCAGATATTGATGACATCAGATACGAAAGGACCCTCGGAGCTAGCGATCATGAGCTTCTGAGCTTTGAATACATAGTGGAAGGAGGCAGGAAGGACAAGAAGAATGAAACCAAACTACAAGAGAAGAGATTACACAGGCATGAGGAATTTCCTGTGTGAAGTTCAGTGGGACAGAGTACTGGCAGAGAAATCAGTAAATGAGATTATGGAATATGTGACAACAATTTGCAAGGCAGCTGAGGAAAGGTTTGTACCGAAGAGCAACAAACCTAACGAAAAGGCCAGGACGAGCCATTGGTTCACTCGGAGGTGGAGAAAGGTCAAAACGAAATATAATAGAAAATGGAAGAAGTTTAGGAGGCATAGGACCCAGGAGAATAAGGAGAGTAGTCGAAGAGCCAGAAATGAATATTAACAGGTAAAATAGGAGGCCCAGCGACAATACGATAATGACATAGCAACGAAAGCCAAGTCCTACCCAAAGCTGTTGTACAGCCACATCAGGAGGAAAACTATATTAAAGGACCAGGTAATAAGGCTGAAGAAGGAAGGATAGGAGCTCATAACGAATGGCCGAGAAGTATGTGAGGAGCTCAACAAGAGATTTTAAGAAGTATTTACAGTGGAGACAGGAAGGACTCCAGAAGCACGAAGTGGTGGGGTACTGTATCAAATGTTGAACACAATACACACAACCGATCAGGAGGTGAAGAGGCTGCTAAGCGAACTGGATTCCTCAAAGGCGATTGGGCAAGATAACATCTCTCTGTGGGTCCTGAGACAGGGAACAGAGGTACTCTGTGTACCACTAACAACAATCTTCAAAACATCTATCAAAACAGGGTGACTTCCTTAGGTATGGAAGACAGCAAATGTAGTCCTAATTTTTTTAAAAAAAGAGACGGACATGCAACATAAACTACAGATCAGTATCAATGACATGCATAGTATGCAAAGTCATGAAGAAGATTATGAGAAGAGTGGTGGAGCACCTAGAAAGGAATGAACTTATCTGCGACATCCAGCAGGGATTCAAGGAATGGAAATCCTGTGTTACAAACCTCCTGGAGTTCTATGACAAGGTGACAACAGTAAGTGAAGATAGATAGGGGTGGGTAGATTGCATATTCTCGGACTATAAAAAAACCTTTTGACACAGTTCCACACAAGAGACTAGTGCAAAAGCTGGAGGACCAGGCAGGTATTACAGAGAAGGCGCTGCAATGGATCAGAGAATACATGACGGGAAGGCAGCAGCGAACTAGCGAACCTAAGAATAGCATTCCGACTTCTCAGTAAGGAATCGTGGTGGACCCTGTCCACCGTATACGTCAGGCCCATAATAGAGTTTGCAGCTCCAGTTTGAAACCCTCACCTGGCCAAGCACGTCAGGAAACTAGAAAAAGTCAAAGGTTTGCAACGAGACTAGTCCTGGAGATAAGAGTAATGTCCTACGACGAAAAATTAAGGGAAATCGACCTGAAGACACTGGAGGACAGGTGGGACATGATAACATAAAATACTGAGAGGAATCGACAAGGTGGACAGAGACAGGATGCTGCAGAGATGGGACACCGGAACAAGGGGTCACGATTGGAAGATGAAGGCTAAAATGAGTCACAGGGATTGTAGGAAGTATTTCTTCAGGCAGGAAGTGAAACACTCTGGAAAGTGAGGTAATGGAGGCATGTTCCATATATAGCTTTAAGAAGAGGTATGATAAACCTCATGGAGCAGGGAGAGAGTTGCCCTAGTGGCGACCAGTGAAGAGGCGGGCCGAAGAGCTGTGACTCGGCCCTTGCAACAACAATTAGGTGAGTATACACTCAGGGCCAGGAGCTATGAATCGACTCCTCCAACCAGAATTAGGTGTGTACACACACACACACACACACACACACACACACACACCACACACACACACACACACACACACACACACACACACACACACACACACTAAGCTCCACAACCTGTGGTATGGTAAACAAAGCGATTATTTGTCAATGTCGATTCTATTCTCGTTTTCAGGTTTTAAGGAGGAAGATTAAAATGATCAGGTTTAAACTAGGCACTTATAAGAGCTCCCATGAGTTTTTATTTTAAACTACCCGGTATTTTTGTTTCTAGTTGAGGTTTATACAAATTTTTAAATGTTTCTTTGAACTCTGTTAATTTTTTTTTAACCTTTTGTGATTCTAAGTTTGTAAACCTGAAGATGAGGATTAAAAGTATCGAAACGTTAACAAAATATTTTTATTAGCTCAATATGCTTCCTGACATTCCTGTGACTTATCTGTTTCTTCAGCTTCTACATGTGCCCCCGTGTACCTGTTTCTCGCCTCTCAAATAACACGTTTCCGTCTGGTCTATCAATTTGAGTTTTTCATACATTATCATGCCTTCCTTGGTTCTTCTCTCATTTACCTTGTTAGATTTACTTTCTCTAGCTCTCTCTCTTAGCTCTGGAGCAAGTCTTGTTGCACACTTCTACACTCTATCCGGTTCTTCACATGCTTTCTCAGCAGCGGGTTCCACACTGAGGCTGTGAACTCTAATTTAGGCCTGACGTATGTTGTATAAAGTACCTAGAATGAGTGTTAAAATTCCTGAATTGGTGTGTGTATTTACCTAGTTGCGGTTGCAAGGGTCGAGTCACAGCTCCTGGCCCAGTCCTCTTCACTGGCCCTACTTGGTCACTCTTCTTACTCCATGAGCTTCATCATACCTCTTCTTAAAGATATGAATGGGTCATGCCTCCACTACATCACTTCCCAGACTATTCCACTTCCGGACAACTCTGTGACTGAAGAAATACTTCCTAACATCCCTGTGATTCATCTGAGTCTTCAGCTTCCAGCTGTCACCCCTTGTTGCTGTGTCCCATCTTTGGAACATCCTGTCTTTGTCCACCTTGTCAATTCCTCTCAGTATTTTATATGTCGTTATCATATCCCCACTATCTCACCTCTCCTCCAGTGTCGTCAGGTCGTTTTCCTTAACATCTCCTCGAAGGACATTTCCCTTAGCTCCGGGACTAGTCTTGTTGCAAACCTTTGCACTTTCTCTAATTTCTTTACGTGCTTGGCTAGGTGTGGGTTCCAAAATGGAGAGGCATACTCCAATATAGGTCTAACGTACATGGTGTATAGGGTCTTAAATGATTCCTTTTTGAGCTGTCGGAATACTATACTTATGTTTGCTAGGAGGCCGTATGCTGCAACAGTTATTTGGTTGATGTGCACCTCAGGAGATGTGCTCGGTGTTATACTCACCCCAAGATCCTTTTTCTTGAGTGAGGTTTGTAGTCTCTGGCCCCCTAGATTGTACCCCCTCTGCGATCTTCGTTGTCCTTCCTCACTCTTCATGACTTGGTGGGGTTGAACTCCAGGAGCCAGTTTCTGGACCAGGCCTGCAGCCTGTCGAGATCCCTTTATAGCTCTTCCTGGTCCTCGTCCGCTTGAATTCTTCTCATCAACTTCATATCATCTGAAAAAAGGGACACTTCTGAGTCTATTCCTTCCGTCATGTCGTTCACAAATACCAGAAATAGCACCGGCCCTAGGACTGACGTCTGTTGAACCCCGCTCATCACAGGCGCCCACCCGGAAACCTTGTCATATACCATGACCCGCTGTTGTCTTCCCGATAGGTATTCCCTGATCCAGTGCAGTGTCTTCCTTATTATCCTTGCCTGGTCCTCTAGCTTTTGCACAAATCTCTTGTGTAGAACTGTGTCAAACGCCTTCTTACAGTCCAAGAAAACGCAATCTACTCATTCCTCTATCTCTTGCGTTACTGCTGTCACCCTGACATAG